ATTTTAATTGTAGGCCATATTTATTAATTTATTTAGAAATGAATTATTTTTATTTATTTAATTCAAATGTAGATTATTAATATTTGTATCAAGGAAAATACATACATTTCATTCTTGCTAGACGTTTGATTTTAATTGTAGGCCATATTTATTAATTAATAATATTTAAAAGTATTTTTACTTTTTTGAACTGCAAATAATAGTACATTAGTATAAAACAAAAATAAATATTAATTATCTTGTACAAAAAATAATAATTAAATAATATAGTATGTTCAATTGGATGTATGGTATATAAAATAAGTTTATTATATTTTTTCTACGAAAAGGGATTAACTTATAAGCCATACGAGAGAGAGAGAGAGAGAGAGAGAGAGAGAGAGAGAATTAAAATAAAATATTGAAATGTTTAATAAACATTCACATACTAATAAATATTATCTAAATATTTAATATAATTTTCTTAAAACACCATGACGGGATAAATAAAATTATTGAAATTAAATTACCATAAATATATATATTAAACATAAATTTTAAATCATAATAAGCAAGATCATTATATTTATGTTCGAATTTTTCATTAACTTTTAAAAGATTCTGATTAAATATTTCTAATTCACGTCTCCAACGATACATAAGATTTGCTTCATTTATACGTAAAACACTAGATATTAAATATAATTCAATATTAATTTTGTTAAATTATATTCAATTACCTTACTCACATTTTATTTAAAAATTTCAAATTAATCCATGAATCTTTAGATATGGTAATCGCAACTGGGTTTATGGATATTATTGTATCAGGGTTAGTTGAGACATAATAATTTGTTACGTTGAATTTATGAAGTTTATATATTAATATATCTAGATCTGAGAGTACAGTAAACTTTTGAGCTTGGTCATGTAAATTATCAAATAATAAACTCTCGTCCAGTTTTAGATTCAAATCTTTGCAAACTGGTAAAACAAACAATATTAATAGGACTTTAGCCATGTCCGTATTAAAATAAAAATTTTATTTAATTATAATTGTAATTATTGTATGGTTCTGTTTAACCTTTTAACTTAAATTTTCAACAACAAGTTTAATTTGACCTAAATTTTGACCCATTATTAAATCATCAATTGTTTCCATTCGGTGTTCAATGGGTGATGATATGAATGAATAAATTGATGTCGAATAACACAACGATAGTACCAAGCTCATCATTGTCCACGTGATTAATACAATAGTCTTAGGTAATAATCCAGATATGTATGTGCTTTTTTGTAGGCCAATTACAATTACCTCCCAACATGGGTTATCACGGTAGATTTTAAATATAAAATTTATTGTTAATAAAGGCACTACAAGCAAGGTAATTGAGATTAATATGGATATCCAGATGAATGTGTCGAAAGGCTGTAATATATTATTAAAATGTGTTAAATAAGGCGCCGGCGATGAAAACGCTATGACCGCCATCTTGAAGGGGTGGCTGAAAGTGATGGCAGTGTTTCTGTCGTAAGTCATGGTTAGGGCTGATAGGTCTGCCTCCTATTTATTTTAATTTTAAAAAACTGTAAAATAATTTACTTTTGGAATTTTATAAAATACCTTGTTAACTATTTTCCCCATAATTCCGGACCAGGTGTTGTTTACAGGTTTTGAGCCAAACACTTGATTACAATAAATTATTTCTAGTGTCCGATTCAATATCTGGCTAACTGTTACCAGTAATTTCATTTCACTACCACCAATCAGTTTATAAATATTTTTGTCTGGGTAATGTTTAAGTGACATGAATGGCGGCATCTGATTAATGGGTCAGCAAGTTATTTTAGTACAAAACATATTAGCTAATATAAAGGTCAGTTTGCTTACATGATTAATGGCAACTTTAAGAATATTTGAATTTAACCCAGACATACTTAATAAAGTTCGTGTTATAATGAAAAATATATATTTTTAATTTGTTTATTTCTAATTTTTGTAAATCACTAATAACTAAATGGATAATTACAGTTTATTATGACGTTTATTAAGTGATCTTGCTAATAGGGTCGATAGTACTTATTAATTTTACGAAAACAAAATAATTAATCGTCTGTTAATTATTAAATCGATATAAAATAATGAATTAATTATGTTGTTCATATTACTGTACACTACTATTACTATTAAATTTTAATAAAAAAACTTTATTTTTTAAATTGTAGAAATATATTTTGAAGTTTGTTTATTAAAATTTAAATTATTAAAATTGATTACTGGTTTACTAGGCTAGTTAGGTTGTAGGTATTTATATCTACAAAATCTATAATTAATTAATTAAGTTTAATTAAAATAATTTTTTATTATAATACTAAGGTGCCATTTATACATTTGTACAACGTAATACTTTATTTTATATAGATGATTTGCACTTTTATCATCACATTATATTGCAATTACATTTATTATTGATTTATAGTTTCAAATTATAAAAAGACAAATCTAGTAAAATTTTTTAAATTATATTTTTTTTATTATATTTTTAATAATCATGATTACAGATTAAAACACGTATTTTTTCTAATTTTAAAAATTATAGCTTGATACAATAGTTAAATAAATTACTGTCCACAACACATAATTATACGTATTAGTCACCTATTTCAATGTTGACAGCAATTTCAATGTAATCCAATGATAGTGCAATTAATTGTATAATAATAAATTGTAATTGTTTAAATAACATATAAATTGCTTAAATATATCTTAAACACTATTTTCAGACCTTTGAAAAAATAAATACTTTCACACTAAATATTTAACTACTTTTTGAAATATGTATAAAATAATTATATTTCTAATAGTAACTAGTGCATTCATGGTTAACGTACACAGTGCTATACCATGCACATTTGATGCCGAGTGTATGGTGTATGGTTACCAGTATAAATGCATGTACGGCCAATGTCAGCTAGGTTACCAAGCGGGACCTCAAGTTCAATGTTATCAAGATGTCAACTGTTACACCAAGGGCATTTATTATAAATGCAAAAATAATACCTGTGTCCCATCAAGCAACAAGATTTGCTTGACTGACTCGGATTGTAAAAAGAACAAGCTCAATCGGTATTGCCGTAATAATCATTGTAACTGGTATAGATAAATTATTAGCTTATTTTAATATATTAATTTTTGTTTGTATGAATTAAATAGAATAATTTTGATATTATACAATAGAAGTAAATGTTTAATAATTAACATCAAAAAATTTTAATTTTATTATTAATATTATAAACAAAATACTAAATGTATATGAAATAAATATTTTACACAAACAAATATGTGTGATTTATGTAAAAGTCTGTAAATTTTAGATTTATGTGTGAAATAAAGTAATTTGTATAGACAGGTATAACCTGCATAGACGGCATAATTATTTTGGATATATGATATATTAGAAATATTAGATATATTAAAGTTTTAAATGTGGTGGTCAAAATCCGGACATGTTTGGAAAATTTAATTTACTTTATTTCAAATTACAACTAAGTGGTCATCTAAAAATCTTAAATTATACGACCTTTGACATGCTTTCAATCCCTATACTAATCAATTTCATGCCATTATCTTAACTATGTAAAATTTAAATTCAAAATGTTATCAAAACTTATTATATCTACGTGTTGGACACCGAGTATAATAATTTGTGTGATGTTATATTGTTTAGAGTTAAAGTACTGTGAATGTAGTTTAAATTTGTTTTACAATTATAAAATTTATAATATAATTTATATAATAGGTTATATAAAAATATGTTAATAACAATTAAATTAAAAATCATAAATAGAAATGCTTATAATTTTTAAAACAAATCTAAACGATATTCACTAACTCTAAACACTACAACAGTACACAAATCACGAATTATTATATATTGTACTGAATTATTTTGTTTTTTTCAACAAAACATGTGATACAAATGCTACAAAGTTTGTTCACTATTAATATATAATTATTAAATCTTTTTAAAAATTTAATATATAATCCGGTATTTATAACAATTAAAACCACTTTTCATTTAGTCTACAAATTGTTGCTCTCCATAGAAAAGTGAAATAGTTTTGAACGAAAGGAGATTATCTCTCTCTCTCTCTCTCTCTCTCTCTCACTCACTCACTCATTCACTCACTCACACACACACAAACATGTAGATTCTACTATTGTTCATCAAGTTAAATTAAAATGTATCTTGATTAATATGTATGAATGGTGGATAGTATATTGAGCCCCTGGCTCTGTTTCTATAAAATCTTCCATCTTTTTGTGAAGATTAATTGTACAGGGTCTAAAATTATTACATAAATAAAAATAAACTATTTGTGAAACCCCATTTAAATCAACTAATTGTTAATGTTTATAATTTAGTACATGTGACATAAAATGTACAAATGAAAAAGTTCAAATTTATTCAATTTATAATTACTGCATACTTTTAATACAAACTTTTTAAAAACATCATTACTTTGTTTATATTTTATGATTTTGAATTAAAGTTAATAATATTTAATCAAACATATTTTATTCATAACAAGTACATTGATATAATAAATAACATTTTTATTTCGCACATAACAATTTAATAAAAAAAAAAAACAAAATAGTTTTTTGTAATAAACCAAATTAGTTGGCTAAACAATAATTACACTGTTTACAAATATTTTTAAATGGCTTATTAAATAAAAATTAAACTTTTTATTATATGCAATGTTGTATTAATTAATATTGTAAAACAATTTTGTATTAATTAAAAATAATTTTAAAAACAACTTCCAAAATTTATTATTTAATTAATAGAAAATTATTTTTTAAATAAACATCTGTATAATCACTAAACGTGTAGATAAAATAAATTTAATAATTTTAAAAATAAAGTTTATTTATTCACTACACATACTTGACATTATATGAGCCGGTCGAAAAGTATCAAGGCCTTTAAATATTAAATAATTATGGCATTTCTTATTAGCTTGTTAATTGCAATTTTAATAGAATTAACATTTATAGTAATTAGCAACAAGCTCATTTGCCTTATCCATCATACTTTTAATCTCATCACAAGTCATAATGGGCTGACTAGTTGTAGTTGCCTGGGTTACCTGGGTAACTGTACTAAACAATGTTACAGTGGGTGGTAGGGTAGGTGGTGGTGTCGGGCCAGTGGATGATTCAGTGGGCACTGGGGTATCAGTGGTAGGCTTAACAGTAGGATCGGTAGACACTGTAGGTATAGTTGGTTCGGTAGGTTTTTCAGTGGGTACAGGGTATAGCTGTATATCATGCTCAATCTGATCAATGACACTTTGTAGTCTAGTACAGAGTTGTGTGACATCCTTGTCCGGTAGGTGTTCCTGTTTAAGTAGGTATAGCAGACCATCCATGTCATTCATAAGCTTAGCCCAGTGTTGTATTAATGGCTGATTTTTAACAGGGTCCAATTGTTTTAGAGTAGCTATGATGGTGGTTAGTGTTTGATCCAGTTCCTCCCCTTTCCGTATCAGCTCATCCCTGAGCTCATTGGCACCGGTAGCTTTAGGTTTAGTAAAAGCAATTAGTTAATTTTAAAAAATATTAGCTAGATCTTTTCATAATAAACAACAATGTTATGCACTCCCAAAAATTATTATAGTATTTAAATATATAAGTTTAAATTATTATTTAAATAAATGTTTACAGGTGTTTGTACTGTACTAGTATTAAAGTATTATTTTGTGATTGATATGTATTATAATTTGTAAAATAACAAATAATTGTATACTTACAAAATATCAACAATGAAATAAGTAAAACTTTTAAAGTGACCATTGTTTTAAGTAAATTAATTTGCTAAAATAATATTTTAATAAATGTAATTATGACAATAAATACTGCTCGTTATAATAAATTATTTGTTATATAAATTAGTATTGTGATTTATATATTGTTTAGGTAACCAGGACAAATAGTAGTATTAACATAAACAATTATACCAGTATGTTTCTTAAGAAACTATAGATAATTTACAGTATAAATAAATATTAATTGCATATTAATCTAATTGTGTAGGCTGAATAGGATATTATAAATTTTAATTTGTTTTTGATAATCTATCATGTTTATAATAATAATGTTTATGTTTGCCGACTGAATACTAAAGTTAATTTTAGATTAATGTTAATTAAAATTTTAATTTAATTTAATTTAAAGCATTTGCGAAATGTTTAGTTGCCCAGTTTAATTAATTTGTTATTGTTAAATTCAATTATATATTTAAAATTTTTAATAATTAACATTATCTTATATTTTAATAATGTACTTTTTATTTAATTGCATTTACAAATCATTAACAAATTAATGAATAAATATTTCATAACTAAAATAAAATACACTTATAATTAATAAAATGTTTATATAATACTAGTGTGTATAACAAAACAAAATAATAAAATTAAAATTTATTATTAATATTTAAATTAAATAGTTTTAAATTAAATTAAAATTAGAATTTATAATAGTATTGTAGTATTGCCTTATATAGTATCCAGATACATTTAAACAAATTAATACTACTGTATAGTATTAAGTAAGTGTAGCATTTCTAATTAGATCCTCAATCAAAGTCTCCATAGGCTTAACATCAACCGTAATATCCGTAATGTCTTTCCAATAGGTGTCCACACTTTTAGCAATTTGTTGCAAACGTTGCGAGGTTTTCATCAGCTTATTAGCCTCGGTATATCTACCATGGTCATTCAACTTGGTCACAGCAGCATCGGCTTGGGGTTTTAGATCCCTGGCCTTATCCATCATACCCTGTATCTCATCACATGGTACAATAGGCTGACCTGTAGTCCCATGAGTCACCTGGGTAACTGTGCTCAGGGTAGATATAGTGTGCGGTAAGGTTGAGGGTGGTGTTGGGCCAGTGGGTGATTCAGTGGGCACTGGGGCATCAGTAGTAGGCTTTACAGTAGGATCAGTAGCTTTGGTGTGTATAGTAGGTATGGTAGGTTTTTCAGTAGGTACAGGGTATAGTTGCATATCATGTTCAATCTGAGCAATGACACCCTGTAGTTTAATACATATTTGTGTGACATCCTTGTCCGGTAGGTGTTCCTGTTTAAGTAAATATAGTAGGCCGTCCATGTCGTTCATAAGCTTAGCCCAGTGTTGTATTAATGGGAGATTTTTAACAGGGTCCATTCGTTTTAGAGTAGCTATGATGGTGGTTAGTGTTTGATCCAGTTCCTCCCCTTTCCGTAACAGCTCATCCCTGAGCTCATTGGCACCGGTAGCTTAAGATTTAAAAAAATTTTAAAAATCTAATTTAATTTTATATTTATAACACATTACTGAACACAATACCCAGTTGAATTTACAATATTGTTATTTTAATGTATTACTAGTAATTTAAATAACTATTTACAACTTGTATAGTATGAAAAACATTAAGGTAATGATTATCAAGCAAATTATTTGTAATATTATTTGATTTGTAAATAATTATAATTAATAATTGTATACTTACAAATTAGTAATAATGAAATAATTAAAAACTTTAAAGTAAGCATGGTATTAAATTAAATATTAAGCTTAAATGTGATTTTAATAAAAAGTCTAAATTATTTTTACACTTAATATAAAAATAATAAATGTTTTAAAAATAAAATTAGACTGGTTTTGATATGTGACTTATATATTGCTTATGTAACCAGGGCAAATAAAGTACTAACATAAACATTTATAAACTATATTTCTTAAGTAATAATAGATAATTAACATTACAAATAAATATTAATTGCATTTTTATCTAATTGTGTGGGCAGTCATAATTTGATATTATAATAATATTAAAATATTATTATTTGTTCAAGATAATTATTAAAGTTTTGTTTATTATTAAAGTGTTATTATTGTTGTTTAAAAAAATTAAAAATAATATTTAAACATTTATAAAATATAAAAGTTTATAAAACACATTATAAAATGTTTTGCTATATGCTTATATTGACAATTATTAATTATATACATTTAATTAACTTGTCTAAAACATATTGGTTATAAAAAATAGACACATAGTTAAAATTAATTACTGTGTACTAGTTTAGTATAAAAATTACATTACAAAACACTGTACCATGGCTAATAATAAGCTATTTTGTAGTGTCATTGTATTGTGTATAACCTTGTTGATTATGGATCAAGTAGTTGAACCCGTTTATGGTGGGCCAGACTATGTACCAGTAAATGTACCATGTAAAAATGACGCAAAGTGCCAGGCTTACAATTCAGATACCCGTAAATACAAATGCCTACGCGATACAAAAAAATGTGGTGAAATTACTGACTATGACTAACCCTGATACTAATAAAGTTATGATAATAAAAAGTACATTTAATGTTATTGATTTATTTGAAACTACTTTGTCTGTATAATTAACTTTAAAAACATTTTTTATGAATTTGTAATAAACTTTTTTGAACTAAACTTTGTTACTTTATTTTATAACTTTTTAATACTAATTAAATTACCGTGTATACTTCAACTCTATTACTTTCATTTAAGATAATTAACACTATAAAACAATACCCGGGTCACAAATTAAAGTAGAGTTTATATATATACCTGTACATTTTGATTACTTATAAGTCTCACAATTACTAGTACTGTATAACAAAATATTAATATTAATAATAAAAATAAAACTTAAATTTTAAACTCTAAAAGTATTTTTAAAAATCCCTAAATGTTTATATTATAATAAAATTAAAGTAGACACACAAACTGGCTCATTTTCTAATTGGTTTATTTATTTCAAAAATTTATAAATTGACAATTGATACACAAATAGCAATCAATGTGTTTTCATTCAAATAGCATTTCAACGCTATTGTAGTTTCAAAAAATAAATCTTAATTAGTGGTAGACTTGCAACTGATTACAGCCTCCTCGCCCACCGCTGACATGACAGTTACCTGTGTATAGAGAAACAAAAGTAAACAAGGTTATAGTAAACACCACAATTTACAGTACATTAGGTGACAGTTAATAGTGAGAAAAGTTTATTTAAACTCTACTTTCAGTAGATTTTGGTATTAAAACATTCATTAGTGAGCAGTGTTTGTGTAGACCTTTGACTACTATGTCTATACATTAGCCTCATATGAGGTCAACTAAAATGAAAAGTATATTAAACTTCGCTTTTTAATGACTGTAACTACTGTTTATCATTATAAGTGTCTTTGGAAACCGGAGTTTAATGTGCTTTTTGTGGTCATATATATATATATATATATGTAGAGAGAGAGAGAGAGAGAGAGAGGAGAGAAAGAGAGGAGAGAAAGAGAGAGAGCTATGACATACAAAAATAGAGTTCTCATCCTGGTTGTCAAACTCCTCCTGAATCTTGTCGCCCAACTCGCCCTCCGGGAGCTTCAAGTCCTGACGGGTGTCCCCCTTGTCGTTCATGAGACTGATATACCCGTCCGACTGGATGTCAATGAGCTGTGGATATCACATAGAAATAGTTAGCTAGCTAATTGCATTGTGTACAGTATGTGTATCACAAACACACTGACCTGGTACTCAATGCGGCTCACGTTAGGCACGTCTATGTTATGGGTCGACGGACACAGATCCTCGTACTTCTTATTGGTGAATATGTCGATGCCCACCAAGTGAACCTGGTCATATAGGTAATCATAATTAATAAAACAATACACAATAAGGCAATACAGGTAATAGTAGTGCTATACATCATTCATGGTAACATGCATTAACCGCTCACTGCAATAAGGGCCTATCTACAATAGTATACTGGTACGTAATGCGCCCCTATTGCAACCAGCGTGTTTTTTTAATCAAAAAATGTGTGTACGTGTACTGGTACAATGAATTAATTAAATTCATCTAGCTTACCTTGGCGTGTCCATGCTTGCCGGTCTTGGACGTTGACATCTCGACCACCTTACAGGGCCGGGCCTTAATCATAACGAAGCCATTCTTGCGTAACGCCGAGCACTGCACGGGATAGGTAGCCGAGGCACCGGACCCACCACCCCCGTGATACTCATCGTCTCCATCGCCCTCCATGTCTACTGTAATATATAGATCGGGATGAGTTAGTGGTCACACAACAAATATTAGGTACCTGTAAACTCAAGTTTGGCTCAAAAGTGGTTTTTGAAAACACAAAAGTGATTGTGATTTACGCTATGAATGCTCAGCAAAATGACACCATTGATGGCTGGCTATGGAGGTATGGCTATGTGAATGTGTGGGTACATGTGCTATCTAATAGTAGTGTAGTTATTAGCAACCTAGATAATAACTGGTTTTTAGTGAGTATTGTGTATGCGCGTGCACACAAATTACGTGCACTTTTTTATGTACA